ATTGAAAGTATTTAACAACTTGGAAGGTCTATTTTATTCGTGCATCCACCCCACATTAGGAGTGTTTAGCACAAATTTAGAACAGAACATAAAAACGTGTAGAATAGCATAAATTTAGAACAGAACATAAAAAATAAAAACGTGTAGTGGATTCTGATTTGATTGAACGAATGGGTTTGTTGATCCACTAAATATGCGTCCATCATGATTCATCGCACATCTTCCAAAATAATGCATTTTTCATTTGTCTCTTTGTGGCTGTAATCTCTTGGAGGCTATGTCGTCGATCAACCAATCAAATCCCTCAACCATGTCCTCAAAGACTGGAACATCGACATCAAAGAGAAGAACACGTTTTAGAAAAGGAAGACGAATTTGGGAGAAGAAAAACAAAGTTCAACTTTCAAAATATAAACACTTTGTTTAAATAAAATTTAATTATATTTTTAGTTACTATAAATATAGCATATTTTATGATAAATTCTTATAAAAAAATTTTGTTAAAATTTAATACTTAAAATATTAATAAATTAAGATTTATTCTATGTTGTTAACTTTTCTCTACAGTGGCTGACAGAAAGTTATAAAATAAGATCACATATGATTTTCAATATTATTTTTTTTTACTAACTTGAGTGCAAAGATTTAGGCGCGTTGATATTCACATTTTTCTATTATCTTTGGTTAGGTCAACAAAGTTTAGATGTGACACATCCTCTTAATCTTCTTTATGTTTGAGCTAGTTCCTTTTTAGCTCCATGATTCCTCTGAGTTTCTCTATTTCATCTGATTTTTTTTCAAATATTGAATCTGATTAAATTCCAACCAATATTCCCCCATAAGGATTAATTTTAGAGCCCAACCTTGTTTGTGATGGCCCTTCTTAACTAATGGGGCCTAACTCCTGGGTCCATTAAATGTGTGCTTATTGGGCTTGGTTAAAATCTTCTCTTTTTGAACATTGTGTTGGCATTGATAAATTGAGATTCTTAATCTATTATTTGACTCTCATCGTTGCTCCATTATTTTTGCGCCATCATTAGGCACCGATTCATAGACATCAAAGGCAACTTAAGCTCAGGGATTATCTTAATCTTATTAGAGTTTAATTTTCATAACAAATTATTTATGCATTATTTTTCAAATCACGAATCAAAGGACAAAATTACTGCATCTTTTTCCCTTTGCTGTTGCCATGCATATAAATCCACTTGAATGTATTAGCTCATATGTTGACGTGTATACTGTATAAGGGGAAGCGGGTATTAGGTGGTAATTCTTTGATACAGATATTCATGTATCAAAGAAGGAGGGCATGCACTTGAAAAGTTCATCGTGAAATTTGTGAGTACTACTGATACTGATATTGTTTAATAAATTTTATTTTTATACAGACTTAATTATGTTTCTTTATTTCTATAAAAATAACGTATGTTTAAAATTAGTTTATGTTATTAACTCTTCTTTATTAAATGATGAGTTAGATAATAGATGTTTAACTCATCAGTGCTATATGTTATTTAATTATTTTTAAAATTTTGTTATTAAAATATCAAAATTTGTAAAATAGTCTATGAATTTAGGTTTTTTTTCCTGCTTGAATAAAAGGGTCAACGTGGAAGCCCAACTTTAGAGGCTTAGCCATGAAACTCCAATCCTTCGTTTGAGGCAAAGTAAGATTAAAAAAGATGAATTAATTATTTTTCTTAAATAATATAAATATCTTTTAGAGATATTTGTATAAATATTAATTTTTAAATAATAAAAATATTAAAAATAATAATAATAACATGATGACAATAATGAATTTGAATTTCTTTATCACTCATTGCTTGAAAGATGATAGTTAATGTCAAAGATTAATTATAAACATTTTTAAAATGTGAAGAAGTAAATTTTAATAATTTTTTTAAAGACTAATTACAAAGAGTTTTATTTTTATAGGGACAAAATTATAATTAAGCTAGTAAAAATTAGCATTGTTTTAGTTAGAAGATGATTATTTTAGCTTAATAATTACTTGTAAGTTAGTTAAGTCATATTGTCAAATATTTTAATTAAACCTTACTCGAATTTTGATAATCGTTAATTATCCATATATATAAATGGTGCTAGCGTAGTGTTTGGGCACAGTTTTCAATGCTGCCAATAGTGGATGGACATGGGTGCTTCTGTCAACTCTTTTTTCCTATTGGAAAACAAACAATCTTCCTCCGATAGTTTAGCACAAGTCATATTCATATACTACTCATCATAATTACATCCAGAATAGGTAGGTGACATAAGAGTAACGTTTTTCTATATCATTTTTTTTAACACAAACATTTGGATAAATCCATTGGATAGCTATTACATAAATGACTTGAGTTTTCAAAGTTTAAACCTGAACTACTAGATATATTTTCCAATATGATAACATAATTAAGGTGTTTATTTTATTAAAAAAATAAACACTCATAAATTAGAGTAAGTTAGGTGGCCTGTTAATAGCCTGGCCCGTATAATTTGGCCTTCTGGCATGTTTATTAAACAAAGTTAGGCGAACATTTTAGTTAAAAATGTTACTACTCTAAACTATCTGGTTTTTATTACTAATACAAGGTTGACTTGTTTAGGGCAATATTATTATTTTTGTTGTTTGGTTGTCATTATTGTAATTTTTTAGTACTTGAAATTGTATACATTTCGTTTCATTTAAAATTTTAAGTCGATTAATTTATTTATAGTTAAAGTGGTTTTTTAAACACATTTCCAAGTAAATTAGACCATAGGTTTAGAAAGGCTAAATTATACCTCAAAGGAAAAAGAAAATTATTTTAAGTAAATTGGTCAAATTCTTATATTTGATAAATAATTGAAGTCAAATTAAGAAAAAGTCTAACCTAACTTAACACATTTAGATACTTTTGTAGTAGTAGAAGAAGAATATAAATCAAATTTAACATTTCTACAAATCAACTACCAGAACCACAGGTTCATACAAAGGAAGGTGGACTCACGTCTAGAACAGACATATGTTGAATCGGTTGCAATGCATAATAAGAATTTTGTATCTCTAGAATCATTTTGAAGACCCTTTTACATGATCACATTGAGGAAATATCTTAGCTAGGGAATAAACCCATGTATGATTCTCTTATTCGTTCAAATGGAAGGATAAGTGTAAATAAGGTAGAGCCGAACGATGATACAAATACCCCTTCCCTCCTTTCTCCAAGTTAGGAACCATATTTTAACCTAATATTATTTATTTTTGGATCTTTTTTGAAGGGGGCATATTTAGATAAATCACAATTCCACCTTAATATTATGGGATTAATAAAAATAATAATAAATATGTACTTTTATAATTAAAAATTACATTAAAGCTCATTACAAATAATAAAAATGATAATATTATTATCTTTTTTAATAAAATAAAATAAATTTAATTTTTAATGAAATAAAATAGAAGTTTTAATTTCCTTATCCAAACACAACCTAACCTTAACCTAAAGTAGAGGTTAACATTTTCCTAATCTTATATTATAGTTTATGCAAGGAAAATGATAGGCTGTCTACAGCTTGAAAGAGAAAGAAACGGACATGAGAGAAATAGTATATGTGATTAGTAATGTATGTAATAAAAAAGAGAAAAAAATAACTGTTATATTAGTATTAATATGATTGAAGAGTTTAAAGTTTTTTATCTAATGATAAACTCATTCACCACATCTAAATACGCAATTTTAGTCAAATTTAAATTAAATAATAAAAAAATTATTTATCCAAATATTTAATTTATACAAACAAAAAAGTACACCAATAAACAATTGAGGTAGCAAAGATAGAATCTAATCTAAACTATTACTTCTTTTATTTCTTTTTTTCTATTTCAGGTCATGATTTTTATCCTTTTAAAAATATTTTTCTAAATAAAAAATGTTATTTCATTAGAAATAATGATGTACTATTATGGCACTCTAGATTAGGACCTTATCTGATAAAATCTTGAAAATATTAAATAGTAAAATTTCATATATATATTTTTTTTCTTTTGTCAAAATTTTTATCTTTCATCTCAAATAACAATTATGCACAAAATGATTTTGATCTTATACATGGTAATGTCAATTATCCTCAATCAACGTAATGGTAATAATTATTTTCCTATTATAATAGATGGTGTTATTCGTTTTACATGATTATACTTAATGGAAAACAAAATATGATACTTTTCAACAGGTCAAGAATTTCTTTACTGATATAAAATATAGTTTGTAAAGGGCTACTTATAAGCGGACAAATGCACTGATAACAGAAAATTAAAAGTAATAAAATTAACTGACTAACTTTATGACTACATAATGGAAATACTTAGATTAAAAATATAATTAATATTCTTATTTATATTTAAACTATTTTTAACTTTCTTATATGACATTTATTATTATTTTTCTCTTATTTATGATAAGTAAGTAACATATTTAAAAAATAAATAAGAGATCAAATATAAATGAAAAATTAGTCATTAACATTGTCTTAAATAAATAAATAATTTCTAAAATAGATAAGAAAAAAAAACACAAGTATTTGAATTTAATCAAACAAGTTTTAGATGAAATCCTATCAAATATCTAACCATTCTTTAAGGTTGGTTCATTTATGAAGCTTATGAATTATGTTGAGAATAAATGGCAAATAGTTTTTGTAAAAAATAAAATAAAATGAAAAATATTATATCAAAATTAAATGCATTTAATACCTTGAATACTAAAATGAAACATTTATCCTTCCTTTTTGGTAAAAAAAAGAAAAAAGAAAAAAACCATTTATCTAATAATTTTCTAAAGATGAGTGTTTCTTTTGAAAACCAATAGATTTTATGATCAACATTAAATATTTATACCAACGAACAGAAGTAGGAGAGCACTAATTACCAAGAACTATTAGAATTCAAAAAAAACTCCAAATATTGTAAACTTTGAAAAGCTTTCTACATTCCGAAATCATTGAGTCATTTTGGGACCAGTTCAACAGGAAATAAACCATCTTCATTTTCAGAAGAACTAATCTAGCTTCGTCAGAATCCCCTCCCACCATTGATTGTAACATAAAACTAACAACATGTAACAACTAAGAAGTACTAACACTAACACAAGTGCACAACATTAATTTGCATACGACAAAGTCCTAGTACAATTACTTAATTAGAGACACTCAAAGCCCTACACAGTAAACACATCTAGTAGGGAGAGACACCTACATTAGCCGGTGCGAAAAACCCATCTTTCATGAGCACGTCCTCTGCTTCCTAAACGCACACAAGGAAAATTTGAGATTAGAAACCCTAGAAATAGGAGTCCCCTTTGAAATCTCTATGCTGCCAAAAGAAAAGGAGGTAACAGTAGCTAGGGTTTTCAAGTACCTGACGAACATTAGCTTTCTTCACGGGTTGATGATCAGGCATAAGTCCGAAATGAATGTGTGGAAAATGGGCCCACTGAAAGAAAACATGGACCCCACACAGGAGAAAAAAAAATTATTAACCAACAAGGCAATGAAAACGAGTTTAGACATATACTTGATTAAACAAAAAGAGAACTCTTTAATTAGTAAAAATTGAAAATAATCTAAAATGGGAAAAAGTCCCTAAGAGAGTAAGATTTAGAATCTCCTTGGATCTCACATTCTTTGCAGCTGCACTAAAGGCCTCTCTGTGGCTTATATCAGGATTCCCAGCTTTGATTCGTTGGATCTCATCCCTGAAAATTAAAATGATGTGAAAGCCATCAGATAGCATGATAAACAAGCTAATTTTTTTTATTTTTTTTTTGTGAAATTAGATAATAACAAAACTGAGTTATTGTTTTTTTCTTTTTAAGTATTTTTAATGTTATTTGTCAGTCAAAATTTTACTTTAATAGCTTGCATGAAAGGTAGACATAGATCTTTTATTAAAATAAATTTTAATTTTAATTAATAAATAATAAAAATGTTTAAAAAATACATCTAAATTTTATCTATTAAATAATTTATTATTTTAACTAATAAGAGAAATTAGCAAACGGTTCATACTAATACACAAGTGGTAAAGGTTTGATTTACTAAGATTTTTTTTAAGTTACTAAACCATCAATGAGAAGTCTGGTTGAATACCTTGTCTAACGGAATTCATAAGGAATTGATTTTTTTTTAATCTCACATAAATGCTTTGAAAATTCCACTAACTCCGTTAGCTAATGCATACAAACAGGCGCAAAAACCAGTAATCAAGCTAAGCAGAATTGATAATAAATAACGTGAAATTAATGTTATCAAACTTACTTGATGAAGCGGTTGTAAGCAGATGGCACTCTCTGTCTCTTCTCTGGAGCTGGACATGCAACACACGGACATTGCACAGGCAAACAGACAGGAACATTAAATAACTTTGCTGACCTTTTGCCTAATGCCCTCTCTCTCTCTCTCTCTCTCTCTCTCCCTCTCTCTCTCTCTCTCTATTCTATCATTACCTCATCATTATCTCTAACAATCACTCTCCCAATGGATTCAGCACTATATTTCCGGGGGAAGAATTCTGTCTCACTCAATATTGTATGCATGTAAGGAGACATGCATATAGACACTGAGAAAGAACATGATATAACAAATTTTAGATTTGATTTTTTTATTACCCTTAAGAAAAGAATGTTGAATTTCTTTTCTCACCACTTTGAAATTTTTAATGCGACAAGAGGGACAATCAAAGAGCATGGAAATGGTTTGGTCCAATCTGAAAATAATGGAATCTTGATGCTTATAATTAAACAATTTGAAGAACAAAAGCTGGATTTCTGGAAGCACACTACATTAATACAGTAAAGAGGGAAAAAGCAATGCATGAGATAAATGTGCTAAAGATTGTTCTTTCTTTGCCACTTGCTGTATACCAAGAAACCTCAGCGACTGTTTGAGATTGACAAGTGAGTTATGATAGGGATAGAACCCTTTCTTTTTTATTATGTGCTTTTCTCCCTTTATTGGTCAAGTGACACCACTATGAACTTAAAAGAAGTGTGAAATGAAATGGACTGAATGGTATCAGAAAAGTTTCCTTTTCTTTTCCTAGCTTTTCTTTGGTGGTATCAGAAGAATCTTTGATCACCGCACCCGGGAAGTAGAAAAAGGAAACTTAACAAAAAGAAACCAAAACAAACATGAAAAACAGGTAAGGTTTTAGGTTATTGCAAGAAATAAAAATAGAAAAAAAATCCATAACATGAAAGCTATTGCATGCAACTTATTCAGTAAGTTAAGAAATTAAAGAAAATTCTCACGTCTATTAGCTGATGGTGGCTTAGGGGTTTCTTCAGGTCCTCCTCTCATGGTGCTCATGACCAAATCATTAGGGTTAGGGAGCTGATTCATCATCATGTTTGTTGAAGGCGCATTTCGAATCTCCTCCTGAAATATCAAACCCAATACTCGGATAATTGATCACTACCGTTTCATATATCAATTCTTCTTATAAAAGAGAACATATAACTACACATAAAACCTAACACACACACAAAAATAGCCCATTAATTAAAAGCCCTAGCTCCTACTCCTACAACTATCATTAATTACTATGAATTCACAACCACATATATACATACCAAAAGATTTTGAGGAGTGAAGAAGGAATGGCCAAGGTGAAGCTGATTAGCAGCAGGAAGAAGTAGTCCACGCATGTTGACTGAGAGAAGGTTGGTGCAATGGCCACACCTCACTGTGACAGTCTTGAACAAACTGGTGCAAGGAACACTCACCTAAATGCAAAACAAAACAATAATTAAGAAGAAGGAGGATGCATATCTAGGTAACTAATAAGAGAGGGTTAAGCCAATAATCAAGCAAAGAAACATTTGAATATATAAGATGAAGATATGAACGAAAGGTGCGTGAGTGATACAGCGAGGACAGTGTCACAGAAATTGCAATGAACATAGCAGAGCTGGTCTGAGGGAGAGAGGTGTTGGTCCGGTGAAAAGGAAGTGGATGAAGCGGACATATTGTTTCTCTTTTTGATGATTCCCTTTTTTTTCTTTCTTTCTTTCTGATGATTTGATTTGATTGATGGGATTGACTGATCAGTGAAGTTTTTGGTGATGGACAGATAAACTTCCTATGGATCTGATCCTCTTGATTGCTGAGTTACTGTTAAGAAGCTAACTAGCTTGGGAGAGAGAAGAGAACAAAGAAAGAAAGGGAAAAGAGAGACAGGGTGAAGAGATGCCACTTATGTATTAAAGGATCGAATACACCTAGAAAGTCCTTTCTTTCTCTCTCCATTTTCATCTCATCTTATCTTATATATACTATTACTTTTATTTATCTATTATAAATTAAAAAAAAACTATCATTTATTAAAATCAATTATTAAATTTATTAATTTATTTTTCATTATTAATTTTTGTAATGTTTGAACTATTTAAACAATATATGTATTTTATATACATAAAAATTTATTAATAAATAAAATAATAATTAATATTATCTTAAATTTTTATATAGAGAGATAAATAAAAATATTTTTAAAACAGAAAAATAAGAAAAGAAGTGATATATAATATTCCGTGCAGCCCTACATAGTTTCTTTTTGTACTAAAGTATGTTAGTCAAATGAACAATTAAACTCAAAATTTTACAGTTTCACGAATTTTGGCTGTTTATTTAAAATGACTTCACATGATGATGAAAATTATAAATTTTTTTGTATGCATATATTTAAAAGATAATTTTCACAGTCACATGATTGTAATCATTATAATTGTAGTTGTATCAGTTATATTTGTTAATTAGCAACCGTCATCACAAGAGACGAGTCATAATCAACTTACATAAATCATCAGCCAAGGTATGTGTATAAAAACAATCGGTTACTTTCAAAAGGTTTATAACCTCATAAATATGAGTGATTGGTAACTATAACTAACAAAGCAGTGATAGCTTGACTTCAAAGTCCATGCCTCTTAACTGGGACACAAATAAAGATAATAGAAAATAGAAAATTCCATAAATATTATCATCATAAACAAAATAAAATAAAAGAAGAAAACCAACAAGTAAATGAATGGTTGGCATTCCCAATGGATGTGTGTGTAAGAGAGAGAGAGAGCAGAGGCGGCAGAGGTGGGGGAACGGAGAGCGAAAGGGACGTGTGCATGGGAGTGATTAGCTTTGGCTCATTCATATGTTGTTTTCAAAGTTAAGAAGGTTTACAGTGTGTCCTCGGTTTTCTACAATTCCATTTCGTGATGACATTTTATTGTCTATCAAATCAAATCAAATCAAATCTTTGTTCTTGTAAACTCTCTGCGTTTAAAATGAAGATCATTGAATTTGAAGCCCCTTTGATACCAATGCGGGCCACTACTGCAATCAAGATGTTTATGTTAGAGCCATCTTGTTTTCTAACCCTTTCAGAGTTCAATGCTTGTGACCCACCTCACTTCTGCCATTAATTTCCCTTTTCTTTTTTGCAATCAATTGAATCGTGCATACAGATCACAGTACCTGATCATCTTTATTTCGAAATACTACTGTTCATTGTGATTCCCTTTTTTATTTATTTATTTTTATTTATGGATTCAAGCATTTTCTTTTCTTAGTTTGGAAGCTAATAACAGCTATATACCAACTCATTTTAAATTCCATGTTTTAATTTTAGAATAATGTGCGTTCGTTCTTAGAACTTCTATTGCTCAATCCATTTGTACATTACAAATGCTGTCTTATATAAAAATATGCAACAACTAAAAGAAATTTGTAGCTTTTCATATAATGTTATTTTATAAGAAGATAGGATTGAAGAGGGAGTCGCACAGAAAATTTGAAACCTTTAATATATAGTTTAATCTTTTCTTTAGGATCTCAGTTTTTATCTGAACTGATTCCTACCAATATTATCTGAACTGATTCACTATTTGCATGACATATAATGAAAATGATTATAATTTTTATGAGATGGGGGTAAATTTATGCAAAAGTATTTTTTGTAAAGAGAAAATAAAGAATAAAATAATTAAAACTCTTTTCGTAAATTAAAATTAACTTATGTATCTCATACTTTAAAAGAAGATAATTAAAGAACAATAAATAATTAAATTCTAATCTAAGAAGCCATAGTCATTGATCACATAGCTATTTTAAAATAATTAAATTCTTTCCAATTACTGACAAATACTCGAAAGATAGTCAATTCTAAAAGTAAAAATTAAAATATGCTAAAGAAAATGTCTATTTATATATCTTACAGGTAAATAATATGAATAAAATTGAATTTAATTATAATTATATATTCTGATTTTACACATAAAATGTTAAAAATCAATTTGAATAGAATTAAAATTTTAAAATACAATTATAATTCCATCATCCCAAACAAAAACCTAAAATATTCATCCACATAAACTATCAAGGATTTCATCACACTTAATAAAATATTTAAGCACCTATAATAACAAAACTTTACACACTCATATTTGACTTGTATTTAGAAGAAATAATTATTTTTTTTAACTGCCTTCTAAAAAAAAGGAATAATTTCTCTCAAAATAAACTAAATTTTGCCTAAGATTTCGACAAAGTAATATTTTATGACTTTAAATTTAAGGTAGTGTTACCGCAATTTATTACATTACTTTTTATATTTCTTGCCTTTTATTTCTAAAATAAATTGAATTTAATAGTATAAGAGTAAAGTTTTAAGGGTCAGTAAAATATTGAGCAAAATAGTGTCTCACCTTTAATAAATCATATGTTAAAACTCTCATTTGTCTTTTTATAGTAAAATAAATGCATATTATCTTGATGTGCTTTTTGAATCCAAAGGCTTTCATACCTTGGATTGGCCCGGGCACATATCTTAAGCTACAATTTTATTTATATAAATAGAGGGGAAAAAATTAAATTAAATTAAATTAAAAAAATCTAGAATCAATTCTATGAATGAGGATCTTGGTTATATCTATATTGTCCATCGTAGATCTTCCCATTTGCATTCTCTACTGGTTTATTTGAGGATCATTTGCTTCAGCTAGCATATCTAAGGAGCAAGAATGGTGACTTTTTTTTTTTTTTGAATGGACATGAAATATGGTGGGTATGATAAACGTTTTTGTCTTACAAAGGAAAGGATCAAACTAGAGGGCCCCACCTGTAAACACAGTGACCAAACAGCTCATCTTAGGGTTGAATTTAGGTTTTATTTTTTATAGCATGACTTCTATTATTCAATTTACTTTACAACTCGATTTATAAGAGGAAATAGAAAGTTCACAGTGGCTTTGGTCTTGAACTATTAGATTAATCAAATAACTATTTTCACTAATTAGCATAATTCATACCAAGTCTATATTCGAAAATACATTAGAAAATTTACAAAACAAAAGAAATGTAAACTCAAGCATTTGAACATGAAATTAAATAAATTATAAATAGTTTTCAATGTATTGACCATGGTTATAAAGTATCGATCCTATCACTTGCTGCTGTCACCATTGGTGCCTGATCTAAATTCACATCAAAGCATCACATGAAAAAGTATTAAAAAAATCTAAATATGTGAACTAAAAAAAGAAATAATAACTAATAATGTTGAAATTAACATAAGTTTATATTCATTTAAACGTAAATTGAAGCATGCTAATAATATGTTTTCAATTAAAATGAAAGTCTTCTAATATATATTTTTATTTTAAAATATAATAATAATAATAAGCAAGAGTCCATTTGAAAGTCTTCTAAAAAAAAATTCTTAAGACTAAACTTTTTTATTTTAACTATGCTGATGTTGGAACATGTTGCTTGATCTCAATTTGTAAATTTGGTTTACACTTATAAAATAAGATATTGATGGAAAAGATATGTTAGTTACACAGTTGACTTATCTCCCTTTATATAGATTTATATGACAACTTAGATTATTAGTATATAAATATTGTTACGCTAACAATAGAATGTATGATATTGACTGTATCTTTTCTTTACATTCATATTACAATATTATGATCACAACCACAGTTCAGAACACAATCTAGATTTTACATTATGTATAAAAGGAAAAGTTAAGAAAACAAAGAGAAAAATAAAAATAAAAAGCACATTATACATAAACAAATAGAATGTTTCGTAGCCCCTTTTAAGTTTGGTTTATTAAATGCTACACATGATTGTATGTAGGTTGGCTCAATTAACGAGCAAAACTTCTGTAGATCACATGCCCTAGAATTATGTATTTATGGGGGCATGCATGCCCTATTGTCAATTTGGGTTGCAAAGTCAACGGAAGAAAATTATAATCTAATTTGTGAAATCGATTATTTTGTGTGTGTGTGTGTAGAACTATTCCAGCAAATTTGCACCATTTATCTCGCAAAATTTTATTTTTGGGTATGAAAACCAATCTTTGATACTATAATTAATGAAAGCGTGTGAAGAAAGAGTGAAGTTAGAGATTGTTACAAGAAAATTTAATAACCTGACATCATTTCTGACTTTTTTTAGTGGACAAAACAGAAGAAAGTTCAGAAAATAAAATGGCTCTGTAGCTTTATATATCAATCTCTACACCTTATAAGCTTACTTTATACATTGAAGAGGATGAGAACACCAATCAAAAACAAGAATTCTTGAAGCTTGTGAAAAGAGGAATAAAGGAAAAGAATCCCGGTATATCTATTTTTGGGACATATTTATCAATAAACAAGAACATTATAAGAAAAGAGTCTTAAAAAGTTGACCTAAGAAGATGACATGAAAAGTAACGAGAATAAATTGGAATAACAAATTGGAATTTAACTTGTATTAGTCTATGTCTAAGAGTTGAAAATGATATGTTCATGCTAGAAGTTCAATCCTCCGACAAAATCAACATTTTCCTCTCCTAATCTAACGCCTCGTATATCTAAAGAATTTATGGGCAACTTTGATTCTTAATTTCTTTCTTAATTCAAAAAGGTAGAATGTATGTTTCAAAACTCGTTAAAAAAGCATATAAGAACAAATCTGACATAAAAATTATGATTAATATTATTAAAATAAATGTAAATCTATACACATAATCAAATATGAACATAAACATGCTATTACTCATTTTTGTCTAACATGTACGGCTTTTGGTCTAAATGCACCAGATGCTGGGAAAACATGATGAGCCTAGATCATACTCAAGTTGCTCTATAATTGCTAGGTCTAAATACAAGTTGGGTCGACCTACCACTACGTCCCTAAAGTCGATGGGAATCGCAACAGAAATCATGGTGAT